CCTTCTAAAAAGGTTAAAATGTATTTCTGGCATGTGAAAACTTAAATTAGAGTGAATAAATGAAGACTCGGCACACCACTTCTGAAAGGTTGCTGACCCCTGCACTAGGTACTGCACTAATCCCACCAACTCTGAGGTGACCAAACAATCTGCAGAACCATCCAATATCCTCAGTAATTGGGCATTTAAAGTTACTCCATCCACTAAATAAATATCAGGAATAACCTTTCTAGCCATTTCCTATCCACAGCACCCACCATTAATAATACACTGTCAACAGAGTATAATCTGTCACAGCAGACTCTGCAGGTTAACTCCAAGATGTGGATGTTTTGCTCAACATTCAAGGCATTTTTAGTTTAACAGTCCACTACTGTAAATCAGAATTTGCAGACCAGGTCAAAATGGAAGAGTTAGATAATAAAAGTATGCCACAGGAATTGGTGCTTCACTTTATCCCCATTTAGAAGATTACAAATGTAATAAGTTATTTCTGCCTATTTTCACCTTGCGATATACTTTTCTTCCTTTAATCATGTTCACTGAAAAGTATACTTTTCTCTTTTACAGATCCTTCCACCAGACCATCTCAAACCTCAAGCTTTTATTACTCCTTAACAGCTAAGTATTAAATAACCACATGGTAAGTAAGCATCATCTCCCTACTACAGATGAGCAAATGGAAAGGGAGGTTAAATGATTTGGTAAGATTACACAGGAAGCAGTACTTCCAACTCTAAGATACCAAAAATCATGAGATGGTTAAAATCCATACAACTTTGTGAACTTTGAGCCACATTTCAATTGCTAGTCTAACCATGAGGGCTAGAAATTTACTTTTTAAAAAAATGAGAGCCTAGATTTTTACCTAATAACATGCCTCCCAGAGCTGGGCTTTTTGGAAATAAATCAAACATTCTAAGACTTGCAATGAAATAGCAAGAGTTAGCAACAGTGAGAATCTTTGACAGAGATAGGATAGGACCCAGACAAGCAAACTCATTTACTAACAGACAATGTGTTTGCTTTAACTGTTCCTGAATACCTAAACAACTTTCAAAACAAGCAATTGGAATGCTTCCGTATACAGGCTTCTGAGCTGCAAATCCTAGGTGATCAAACTGGAGAACTGGTCTGAACTCAACAAGATGAAATTCAATATGAGAAGTGCAAAGTACTTCATTTAGGAAGGGGAAAAAAATCAAATGGGGAATAACTGATTTGGAGATAACACTACTGTAAAGGATCTGGCTGCTACAGTGGATCACAAATTGAATATGAACCAACAATGTGATGCAGCTGTGAAAAATGCCAATATCACTCTGGGGCGTATATTAACAGGAGCATCGTATGTCGACATGGGAGGTAACTGTTCTACTCTATTCACCGCTGGGGAAGCCTCAGTTGGATACTATGTCCAGTTTTAGGTGCCACACTTTAGGACAGATGTGGACAAACTGGAGAGAGTCCAAAGGACAGCAACAAAAATGATAAAAGGCTTAGAAAACCTGACCTATGAGGAAAGGTGAAAAGAACTAGGCATATGTAGTTTTGAGAAAAGAAGATGGGGAGCGGGCGGGAAAAAGAGAGAAAACATGATAACAGTCTTCAAAAACGTTAAGGACCATTATAAAGAGGACGGTGATGAACTGTCCACTGAAGGTAGGAGAAGTACATCTCTACCCTGATATAACGTGACCCGATATAACACGAATTTGGATATAACGCAGTAAAGCTGTGCTCTGGGGCAGTGTGTGTGTGTGTGTGTGTGTGGGGGAGGCTGCGCACGCTGGCGGATCAAAGCAAGTTCGATATAACGCGGTTTCACCTATAACATGGTAAGATTTTTTGGCTCCCGGGGACAGCGTTATATCGGGGTAGAGGTGTAGTAATGGGCATAATCAGCAGCAGGAACAATTAGAAAGATTTTCCTAATATCTAACTATAAGGGTAATCATGCACTGGAATAGGCTTCTAAGGGAGATTGTAAAATCCCCATCATTGGATATTTTTAACATGTTGGATAAATCTGTCAGGAATGGTCTAGGTTTACTTGGTCTGGCCTCAGTGCAGGAAGCTGGACTTGATAACCTCTTGAGGTCCCTTCCAGCCCTACATTTCTATGATTCTCAATTAAATGCTAGTTTTAGCCATCATAAAGTAATGATAGTACAGAATGCAAAGTGAAGCACTGGAGAGAGATTTACTATTTTCAAGGGTCTCCCACATGCATGAGAAGCAGGGAAAACCACCACCAAAGTTCTAAAGTCCTTTCCAAGTGTTAATGGGAAATGATGCTAAGTTACCTCCAATTGCCATATACTAGTACTTCTGAAACAAGATGGAGTTTCAGGCTATTAGACTGAGTTAATAACCTTAGTGATTAAGATGACGGATATGAGAGTGGAGAGAAAAAAGTGGTGTGCCGAAGTAAAACTTTAAGTGACTAATTCTTGGAATTTAGCTAGCAGGGACCTTTTCATCACATCTGAGCTTTGTTTTCATCCAAAAATTAAAAAAGATGTAGTAGATTAATGCAGGAGAAATCTTAATTATAATTTGCCAGACAGTAACGTATATAGTACCATGTGTTACTGTAAGATCTTGCACAAATATCTTAAGTTAAATAGCACTAACATTAATGCTCATACAGTGCACACGCATGCTACAATTACCTCATTATACTTTTCATAACCTGTCTCAGTTAATGCCTTCAAGAATGAATGGGGGGGGAAAAGAAAAAGGTAAAAGGAGAGAAGAAAAAGTAATGTCTGCAATTTACTGGTCAGAAATAAATCTTTCAAAAAAGTTAATGCTAAATAATGTAGCTATATCTGTGCATCTTAGTTTGACTTCTGAAAGGAGCATTACAATTTAGCGCAGTTCTAAAATTAAGAGAATTAACTTTGAACCTTATAATGCTATCAGATCAGAATTTATTTCTGGGAGCTGTGAAGAAATTGTTTACCAGCCCATGAAGTTGAGATTTGTATCCACTTCTATTTGTATCCACAGTAGTCTACTTACTCAGCACTGGCATGTGGATAGCAAGTCATACATATAAAGAGCTGTCTACAAATCTTGTCACCTTCTGCTCTGGATCACAGTGATCCATCATAAATAGCAAAGAGCCACTAGAGCCAGTCACTGAAATTCATAGTCTCATCGCCGATATCCCAGAGGCCATTTCAAGCTGCATCAGTCCAGGTTAATTCTTCATTAGGGCTCATCTATATTGCCCCGCAGTTCGGTCTATGGGGGTGTGAACAGCAGCACGCATTGAAGTGCTGGGCTGTCACTCCCCTTTGTGAATGTCGCAGGTGCAAACTAAAAGGTCCCTCTTCAGGATTACATTAATGTGAACTAAGAACCTTTTAGTTCACGCCTGCAGAATCCACATGGGGGGAGTGACAACACAGTACTTCGGTGTGCTCTGCTCTATACACCCAAATAGTCCAAACTGCGGGGCAGTGCAGACATTAGCATTTGTCACCGAAGGATAAAACTCGAATTAGGATATCTACTCATCTCTCTAGATAGTTACCTAGTACTTTTGTAAAACTTGAACACTGCATTTTGTGAAATCCTATTGCAAGCAGTCACACCATTTTTTTAGGAATGTGGATAAGCCTCAGGAAACAGGCCCCAATACAGCAAAGCATGTACTTGAAGTGCTTTGTTGGATTGGGAACCGTAAGAAAATGAGTGTTTACTAAAGGGAACAGGGAAAATGACAAAAGATAGTTACACAAAAGATGGATAAAAGGGAAGAGCTCTTGATATTAGTACTTTCACAGTTATATGTCAAATATCACATTATTCCTTAATGCTCCTCTGAGATAGCTAATTACTAGAACTATTTTGCAGATGGTAAAAATGAGGTATAGAGCAATCAAGAGTTTTGATTAAGGTGTTTCAGCAGGTCAATGGTTGGCCCCTGCTCAAACAAACAACTAGACTTTCCTTCCTTTATAAAGTTATTGTAGCAAACACAGATTTACCCAAGACGACAAAGGAAGAAATTAATTATCCATACTGAAGTGCTACTCTTACCCCATCGTGAATACAGTAATCAGAAATATCTTAAAGACAGATTAGTACAGTAGGTGTTGCTGCTAGTAGTGGATAAAACTTTTCTTTTGAAAAGCTCTGCATCAGTCTTTAAATAAAAGTTCTCAATTGTTTAATATCCTTGATTTATGAGGGAAGTGATCTTTCTTTTTATTTCATGATTATTAAGATTAAAAAGTTACCTGTAGGAAACTGTCCCGGCAGCAAAGGAATTCAACTTTCTTCATGATGGACTCAGCAGTTAACACCAATTCATTTTTACTAAGAGCTGGTTCATTTTGACATGGATATACTGCCTTAAGCAACAAAATAAAAAGAGTTATGCTTCTACATATAGAGAGACCACAGGGCCATTACATTAAACATTTTAGAGATTAGTTCTGTGTTCCGCATGGACAATAGAGTCCCTTAACACTTCACTGAATAGTGTCCCAAATATATGTATTTGGAAAATCAATCCATATGTTTCTGATTACACAAATCAAATTATCACAGCCAGTCACTTAAGTCCAAATTGCCACTTCCACAGAAAACCTTTAGTCTTAGGCAAGATAAAATATGAACATTCTGAAAAGAGATGTTCAGCATGTTTAGCAAACAAGGCTCTCTTCCTGTGAGCTGAGAAATCCAACAACCCAACACAGAAGAATAATTTTCAAAGCATTACTGTGTGCAATAAGGAGCCAGTCAATTACCCAATTAAGTCAACAGTAGTCCAACCACTGACTTCAATGGGCTTTGGGTCAGGCACTAACACAGGAGTAGGCCACCTGCGGCACGCGAGCGGATTTTCAGTGGCACTCACACTGCCCGGGACCTGGCCACCGGTCTGGGGCTCTGCATTTTAATTGAATTTTAAATGAAGCTTCTTAAACATTTTAAAACCCTTATTTACTTTACATACAACAATAGTTTAGTTATATATTATAGACTTATAGAAATAGACCTTCTAAAAAGGTTAAAATGCATTACTGGCACGCAAAACCTTAAATTAGAGTGAATAAATGAAGACTCGGCACACCACTTCTGAAAGGTTGCCGACCCCTGCATTAACATCTTAAAAAACCCCAAGTGATAATCTAGTCACTCAATTTCAAAGAAAGCTATAGAATTCTTTACTTAACATAGATCTGCAATAAATTGAGTTTAAAAGAAATCCTTACATTAGAATGATGCTCCATGTTGTATCATGACACTTTTCTTCTTTATGTCCCAAATAGCATTTCATGCCTCTGACAACTAGAGAGCCTAAATGTATTTCAAACAAATGATTTCAGAAAAATCTTACTCTGATGTTGTCCAGGACTCGCTTGAATTCCAAAGGTTCGTCTTTCCCTTCCATAGCAGCAGGATCTAAGCCATCTCCCCCATAAATGAACTGTATAATGTCACCAGTAGAACTTCTGACAGTGAGATCATATTGAGAGCAAAGATCTTCAAGAGATTTCACCAGCCGTCTCTGGAAAAAAAAGGAGGGGAGCTAAAGACAGCTGTTTTTTAGGAATACCCATGCATTGGAGTTACAAAAACCTATGGAATGTGGAGTGAGAAAATAAAATTTTAATTCATTTTATATTCCCCTGAGAGCAAAAAAAACCCCAAAACACAAACACTCAATAGCAATAAAAAATTCAAAGCGTAATGAAGGTCTGCAAACTTTCCTTCCTGCTCTTCCTATCATTTAATTTTGGTGCATACACACACTCAAAATTTACCACCATAAGAACCTGATACAGCCCAATTTATCTGGAATTTAAAAATACAAACATGTTTTCAAGGAAATGCCTTTTTAATCATGTGGTTTCTCTAACCAGCTTTGCTTCCTGGTATTTTTTTAAAAAAATGCAAGAACATAGGAGACACATTACCACATATATGGTCTTGTAGGGAGAAGGAAAGAGCAGAGACAGTTAAAAATATCACCACTGAACATCAGCCTCTGAAGTTGACCTTTTTAAAAAATATAGTTTTCTAATTTATGAGTTAGGCTTCAAGGTGTTTGTGGTACATGTTCAACCCACATAGCTGCGATTAGGCAGGACTGGACAAACAGGTCTTAAAGGAATGTGTGTTTACTTCAATTTACATAGAAATAGTTACAAGGTCCTTGAAAAAGCAAGAGGGAAAGGCAAAGCCACAAGGCAAGGCAAATCTGCATTTTAAGTAAACAGCAGCATGAAAACTCTTTCACGAGACCCCATGTCTCCATCCTCATAGCTGGAAGGAATTTTATCTAGGGCAACGGTTCTCAAACTTCATTGCACCGTGCCCCCCCCCTTCTGACAACAAAAATTACTACATGACCCCAGGAGGGGGGACCCAAGCCTGAGCCCACCCCAGTCCTGCTGCCCAGGGCGGAGGCCAAAGCTGAAGCCCAAGGGCTCCCACCCTGGGCAGAGGGCATGTAACTTTATCCACCCTTGCCAGGGCTTTGGCTTCAGCCCCAGGCAGCGGGGGTCAGGCTTCAGCCCCAGCAAGTCTAACTACAGCCTTGGCGACTCCATTAAAATGGGGTCCCGACCCACTGTTTGAGAACCCCTGAACAAGGGGTATTTTCCTGAGGGTTACATTTCAAAGGGTGACTAAACTATAAAAGTAACGGATAAAAACATCACACGTTGTCTCTCCCTATTCATTTCCCGCTCACTCATCTAAGACTATAAAAGAAACAGCCAATAGACTTAGGAGAGCAGATCCTGGCCTGAAACTTCAGCAGCAATATTACTGGAAACTCTGGTAAGAATTTCATCTTGAACCAAGTCTAGTTTGTTAAGTTTAGAAAGCGTTTTATCTTAATTTCTCTTGTAACCATTTCTAACTTTAATGCCTTATATTTGTACTGACTTAAAAATCTCTCTTTGTAGTTTTACAATCAAGTGTTGTCTTGAAACTGAACGTGTGGGTAACTCCATTTATGGTAGCAAACTGTTGTATATTAAGCCCCTGGAGGGGCAATGGACCTAATACAGCTTGACTGTCCAGAAGAGGGCTGGACAAGTGCAGAACACACTTTTTTGGGGAAAATCTGGGACTGGAAGTGTGCGGGGGTCACACCGCAAGTAGTAACCAAGGCTGCTGGAAGCCAAAGTGTGGCAGGGTTGCTGCCAGGCTGCTGGGGTCATTGTTTCTGGACTTGGGCTGTGGCTATACACAGACACTCAGGGGTGACCTGCATGCTTTTTGTGAGTGGCCTAAGTGGGAGCTACAGCAGCAAAGCATTGAGGCCCCAAGGTTAGAGGGCCAGTGGTGACACAGTCCTCACTGGCCTGGAGTGCACCCCTGAATGTTAAACCCTCTGAATGGGGTCAGAGATTGCACGGAAATATATTGAATAATGCCTCTACATAAGAGCATTGATATGATCTTAAGTATTTAAGTATGTGAATTTCAAGAGCACTCACATTGGGCCTTCCCTCTGATTAAAATCAATGGGAGAATTCCTATTTACCTACATAGAAGCAAAAAGTTAGGCCAGCCTTGAGCTACTTTTGAACAAGATCACGCCACCTTAAAATAAGTTTTCATTCTTGAAGAAAGGGCCAAATTCTGCTTGCCTTACTTGAGTAGTCCCACTGAAGAGCCTGAGATTGCTCACACAAGTAGGGCAAGCAGGTTTGCCTCAGGACAGTCCATGCTTACATTTGGGTAATGGAGACAACTTCCCTTTTGTTTTGATGGTTCAAAACAAGAGAGAGTTTAAAGTTTCACCGGTATCATCTTTGTTTTTTACTGGAATGAAGGCTAAGTGACCAAAGCATCATCACAGGCGCCTGATCCACTCAGATGCTCCACGACCTCAGACCTTCATTAACTTCAAGAGAAATTGAAGGCACTTACCACTTTGCAGGAGGTGCTCAGCAAATCAGGACACTTATGAACAAGGATTGGTCATTGTACTCAGAAAATACATGAACAGTTACACTCCTGTGTCACTTAATGAAAGCCCACTTTAGAAGATGAATTATTATACTTTCCAACATCCAGCGCTAGATCGATGAGGTCTAACTGCATCTCACATTAACGATATGACTGACAACCATAACCCTCTTGCAACAGCAAAACTGTTATACATCTTTATACCCGTCGAGCATTACCTGCATATATCCAGTTTCAGCTGTTTTTACAGCTGTATCAACTAGACCTTCTCGACCAGCCATCGTATGGAAGAAGAACTCAGTCGGAGTCAAGCCAGAATAGAAGCTATTGGCAACAAAACCTTTTGCAGCTGGAAGCTAGAGGGGAGAGAAAAAAAAGTTCTAAAGACTTACTACACATTCTATAAGTCTGCAATAGAAAAACATTTAGTCTAATAGGACTCTATGCACACGCTCCTGAGTTGCAATCTGATTGGAGGACAATGTGAATACTCATTTTTGAGTGGGGAAGAGGAAGAATGACACAGATTACTTCTACCGGAATCTTCCTAACCTGAGCCTATGGAACACAGAATACGTTACATGGTTTATAGAGTTGGAGCTTCTAAATTCTTTTGAATAGCTTGTTTTGGCCATTGATGAGGGTCTGGTCAATAGACTTTACACAAACTGCTCAAAGCCAATTTACAAGTTTATTAAGCAAACTGAGTAACTAGAGGATTGACTGTAACCTTCTCTATACTATTCCTAATCCCATCACTAGCATCTGATCCAAAAGTCATTCCCACATGCTGTGAAGCAGAACAGTGGATGGAGAAGGTAAGAGGCATTGACTCTTAAAGCAGGCTACTTTGTACCATCATTTAACTAGTAACAGACAAGTTGGACAAGGTTGGGAAATTAAAGTTACGACATTTTCTCTTTGTAAAGTTCATAGAATTTATATCACGTGTATTTCTCCCATAAACAAAAATTACCTGGAGCATTTTCTTAATAAAAAGGGAACTGCAGGTTCAGGTTACTGGACAGCAGTAAGCAACCTTCTCTGTTAGTTCAGAAATTGCAACTGAGTCCAGGCAGGTAGTGATTGAGAGTTACCACTTGACAGGTATTCAGTAACCTGAATGACATGAACTGGTGAACTTAGGGGGGTGTTCGAGGGTTGCTATATTGACACTTCTTTACTAGGAAATGAATTGATAATATTTTAACTGGCAGTCTCAGATAGGACTGTATTAACCTGGAGACAGTTCTAGTCTCTTGACCCTGGAAACTGGTCCCTGCACAACAGGATTGAGAAACATTGATATAAAGTTAGCAATACTATTTGTCATGCTGTATCTGTTCTATAGAGAATTTCAGACGCCAGAGTGACACAGCAGATATATTTCACATGCACTAAAATTCTTGAAATCCATCATAAAAACAAAACCATCTGCACAGCAGCATGAAACACCTTAGTGCAATGAATCAGCATTCAAAAGAAAGGAAAAAAGGCAAAGATTAAGAGAATCTTATTGTTTGTAAGCAATAAGAACCATGAATATATCCTCAGTGTTATCTTAAAGTTATTTCAACAAATATTAATTTAACATATTAAAGTATTGTTTAAATATTTCAAGCAAGGGACTATTTGGCAGAAAAGGGCAACCAGAAGTTAAAAGTTTAGCTGTTAAGGTTCAGGCTAATGAAGATTCCTGAAAACAAATGAAGGCAAAGAGCATCAGCTCCTTGTCCCTACTTCCTCTTTCAAAATATTGTACTTGAACTTTATGATGTTACCCTTAGAGGGTGGTTACCATTAGTGAAGGACTGAGTAGTGACTCATCTAAACTTATTCCCAGTTCATGGATGGATTTCATTGAATCCTGTTTAGTGTCAGACTACTGACCTTACAGTGCTTTTCGAAGTGAGGCAGAGACCTATTTTCAAATCCATCAGGCACACGTGACCCACTGATAGCCTGCTGTCCTACACAGGCAATCATCTGCGATATGTTAATAAAGGAACCTGGAGAAACGGGAGACATCAAAATTAGTAATCCTCTGTGAAGGATGCTTTTTAAACGAGATGAATGGTGCACTGCTTACTAGGTCATAAAAAAAAGTTTTAAATGTGCATCAGTCAATTAATTCAACTCTTCAGTTATTTCTCCTATTCAGTCAAACTTACATTCACAGGCTTGAGATACCAAAACAAAATTAATTAAGTCATCCCTACAAGGAACTCCCCCCTCTGTCAATCAATGAATCTAGTTTTCTGTGGATCATGGATCTTTATGACATTCTTATTTGATTATAGACCTTATGTTAACTTGTTGATAGTATAATAAAAATAGCGAACAGCATATAATCCATGTCTGTTAATGCCATTTCTTATTATTTCATTGCTCAACATCTCTTTTGCTGTTGACAGATGCAATATCAACTGCTTTGAAAACCCATCTTGAATTTAGAGTATTTAGTTTCTCTACAGACATAGTATCATTTGATTAACTCCTTCTGAAAACAAGCAGAACACAGACTTGCTATAGCTTTCACTTCAAGATCCCAAAGCGATTTACAAATATTAATAAAACTTCTTCACCCCTGTGAAGTATTAAACCTATCCAATACAGATGGGAAAATGGAAGCAGAGAGTGCAATTGACTTGCCCAGGGTCACACAGGAAATTAATGCCACAGATCAGACAACATCCAAACAAAAAAGAATTATTCAATTGATCTTGTAGAAGCAGAGATCAGGAAAACAGAACACGACATGGAATGACTTGATAATGGAAGTGGAAAGTCTTCCCGATGATTACTTTTTCTCACATACTTATATTTTTGCTGGGGTATTTGACCTTGGGGTAATTAACGTGTCTTTATTTGTGTATTTCCACAAGATTCCCAAGGGCACCTAGAGTGCTGGATGGATGCTCTTATTGTATAGTAATAAGCATCTAAATAAATAAAATAAAGTGTGATTATTTACAAGTTAATTTAAAAAGAAGCTAGCTTTACCCTCTCAAAAGGAATTGATAGCGATGATACATGCTATGAACCTAATGTTACACAACTGCATGTTTTAGACAAAACTGACTACATAATGATTAATACAAATAATTAAGGGCAAATGATATAGGCAGTAACTTCACACAATTCCAAAACTTGACTAATCTTACCTTTAGAACCACAGAGAGCCATAATAAGGGGACTGTTACTTTTATCTAGTTCTCTGAGACAGGCACTGCCAGCATGGTCTCTGATCACAGAGAGTTCTTTAAGGATTAAGGCCTAGAATCAGAGAGTTTAGATATTTAGTATTAGTAACAAATATGTACATAGCAGTATACTGAGGCTAGCCACCAAAAAACCTTCAGTAGTATTCAGTATGAAGTCTAAAATAGCATCAAAAAGGCAAACAAGAATATTGTTAAGAGTAAAAAAAAAAAATCTGCTTTTTGAAATGCATTTTACTAAGATTCTCGTGAACTACAGAACTTGAGACCCACTACAGACTGGAAAATTGTCAGTAAGACAGTAAGTAAATGTATATAAAAGATATTGCAGCACAAAATGTACTTTGTTCATGTGTCAAGTCTATTTATATATGTTCTATAAATGTATTTGGTGCAAGCATTAAGTTTAGTAACAAGAGATCTTACTACAACTCTCTCCTTTGAGAAGTATGGCAAAACTACTGCATTTTGTGACCAGCATCAGACTTGATGACTAGCAAAATGAGATCCTATTTTAGTTTTATAGATCTTAAGAAAAACAGTGATTGAGGATTTCTAGAAATATACTAGATAAGAGGATAATGGCTTGAAACTGTTAAAGAGGTGACCTCTACATAACTACCCAGGTGCTTCATGTTAGGCACATATTTAAGTACAACAATTCATTCCTCATAGTTTTCAAACACAGTCATATTTAGAACCCACTGCATATTTTACAATTTATTAATCAAATCTCACTGATAACTATCTTGCAAAATTCTACCTCAGTGCCTCATCGTGGTGCAGCAGTGACCCTGGCCGTGTGAAAACTATGATAGCGGGGCGTATGCCCTGGTAGGTCTAACCATGCTACAAAGGTGTCGGACTATCCAATCCAAGGAGGAGGATTGCTCTATTAGAGGAAAGAGCATTTTTCCTTCTCCTTAGAGGTTGAAGGCTAGCTAAGCTTGATGAGGTACGTATGCCTGCCTGCTTAGTCAGTGGGATGGCTTAAAGTTAACGTCTAAAACACCACGAGTAAATGATTCTTAGTTCCCTGCACGTCATCAAACCGTTCTTTGGTGGTGGAGTGGAAATAGAGCGACAAAAGGTTGCTAAAAATGTCAGATGCTAGGCCAAAATGGAAAAGGACAACACTCGCTGTGTGTACTTACAATTGTAGGTCGCTGGCGAGAGAGGAAACGTTAAATCATCTGATTGAGAAGAAGAAAGGGATAAGATGCGATATCCTCGGTATCTGCGAAACCTGACTAAAGTTGGAAGTCAACTGGAAGGATGGAAGCACTGAGGCTCGGAAAGGGAGATGGCGCTAGAAACGCTGGAGGAGTCAGATTTATCGTCAGTAAGGATTGGGTTTCGAAAGTCATATTATGCCAGCTAATATCACGTATTGGTGTGCTGCATCTTCAGATGGAGTCAAAAGCTATCCTCAAGGTCATCCAGGCCTACGCTCCCACAAGTGCAAGTAAGGACGAAGAAGTGGAAGAATTCTACCAAGAGCTCAAAACAGCCCTCGCGCAAAAGTCCACTTATATGGTCACGATAGGAGATTTCAACGCTAAGGTCGGGCGAGGGAAAGCTGGCGAAAAGTTCATAGGGAGATACGGCAGCAGCGAAAGAAATGAAAGAGAAGAAAGGCTGGTAACAATGGCAGAAATGAAAGAACTGTACGTGGCAAACACCTGGTACAAAAAGAAAATTGCAAAAAGATGGACATGGATCGTGCCAAACGCAAAGAGTAAGAATGAAATCGACTATATTTTAGTCAATAAAAAGTGCATTGTTCAAGATATCTCTGTGGTGCAGCCCTTCAACACCAGCAGTGACCATCGCCTGCTTATAGTGAAGTTGATTTTCGACAAAACAGTGGAAAAGAAAGCTTTACAGACTGCAAACAGGAAACAGCGCCCAAAGACATTCGATGAAGCAAAGCTGAAGAAAGCCATTTCTGGGTTTGACTGGAGCCAGACGTAAAAGTGTGACGAGGACTATAGTATCTTTGCTGACAAGCTGAGATGTTGCATAAAAGCAGCTGAAATTGAAAAGATGAAGGCAAAGGGAAGAATCTCAAACTAAATGAAAAGATTGTTAGAGAAGCGGAGAAATATGAAAAGGAGCTCGGATAACAACCTCGAATACTTATACGGCAAAAACTGAAGGACGACTTTGAGAACTTCCAGAAAGAAAAGCTCCTTAAAAACAGCTGAATCACGAAAGAGCCTCAGGACCTGCAAGCGGGAATTGGCGCAGTATAGATTGAGCATAACAGCATTGAAGAACAAGGACGGAGAGACAGTAATTGACAGAGCAGGGATGGAGGAGGTCTGCAAAAGACTTCTATACAGAACTGTTCAAATCAAGAATCAACATCCCTCTTCCAATGCTCCAAGAGTCAGAAGAACGCATCCCCCCAATAATCATCAGCGAAGTCCAAAGTGCACTACACCAGATGGAGAAGGGAAAAGCTCCAGGCAAAGATGGAATAACGTCAGAAATGATTTCCGCAGGAGGCAAAAAACTTTGGAAGGCCCTCGCTTTAAGATTCAGTCGATATCTCGAAGAAGAAAAATACCATCAAGCTGGAAGGAGTCGAATACCATCTTGCTGTACAAGAAGGGGGATCGAGAAAATCTTAAGAACTATCGCCCTATGTGCCTGCTCTCTCGTATCTATAAACTCTTTACACAGGTGATAACGAACCAACTCTCGCAGAGTCTGGATGAACAACAGCCGAGAGAGCAGGCAGGGTTTTGAAGAAATTTCAGCATGATCGACCATATATTTACCCTTAGCCAGCTCTTAGAAAGAGCGAGGGAATACAAACTCCCGCTGTGCATTGCTTTCGTTGACTATGAAAAGGCCTTCGATAGCATTGAGTTCAACGCAATATTAAAGGCACTCACAGGGCAGGGCATTAACATGCAGTACATCAGTTTGTTGAAGGAAGTGAATACTGGATGTACAACAGACATTCTCCTCAAAACTCCCCTACGCAGCCCAATCGAGAAAGGCGTAAAGCAAGGAGATACGATTTCACCTAAACTATTTACCGCCTGCCTTGAAATGGTTATGAACAAGATCAATTGGAAGAGTGGTGTTAATATAAATGGAGAATCTCATCTCAGATTCGTGGACAACATTGTACTAATTGCCGAAAGCACCAACCAACTGCAGAGCATGCTACGAAGACTTGACAAGGAAAGCAGTCAGGTCGGTCTGAAAATGAATCATTGCAAAACAAAATACATGCGATCAGATGTCTTACGAAAAGCCCGAATAACGGTAACAGGAGAAGAAATTGAAGAAGTGGAACAGTACATATATTTGGGCCAAGAAATAAATATGTGCCAAGACATGAACAGAGAACTCTCGCGAAGGATTCGGGCAGGATGGTGTGCATTTAATTCCATCAAGGACATCCTCAAAGGAAAAAAAAAAAAAAAAAATCGACAAGACCACATGTACAAATATCTTTAATTCAACAGTGCTGCCAGCCATGCTGTATGGCAGTGAAATGTGGGCACTGACAAAGAGAGAAAAACAGCGGCTGTCGGTAGCTGAAAGGGCAATGGAACAAGCTATGTTGGGAATTTCCCTTCTGGATCGTATCCCAAATGAAATGATTAGAGAATGCAGTGGTGTGAAAGATATTGTTGTGGAAAGCAGATATAATAAGATACGATGGGTGGGCCACATAGCACGGTTCACGGACAATAGGTGGACTGCAATCATTACTGAGGGGTACCCGCGCAAACAGAAAAGACCACCTGGTCGGCCTCCAAGAAGGTGGCAAGATTACATTGTAAAATGTTTCGGACGAACATGGAGAAGAAAGGCAAGAATGCGAGAAGAATGGCAGACGTGTTGTGATCGGCACAGTCTTAATGACAGCTGAAGACTGATTGATCCAGGTGAATAGGTTTCAGAGTAGCAGCCGTGTAAGTCTGTATCCGCAAAAAAAAACAGGAGTAAGGTACCACAAGTACTCCTATCTTGTAATAGGCTGGTATGACTACTTATTTTTTAACAGTCCTGTCTGTAAGTAAGGCTGGCTTTAGCCTAGTTTGCAGCTTGCTTGACATGAGCAAAATGTTTCTTTAAACGATGCTGTCATCAAGTAAACTTGTTTACAACAGCTATATAGGACAGAGGACGACATTTTTAAAACAGGATGTGCTTAAATTGAAGAATAATGTATCTATAAATTGTGTTGTCAAAAGCAGTTAGAAAAATGGACTAGAAGGTCCCAAAAAACCCCTATGCAGAGAAACAGGTCACAGTGACCTGACCAAAATATGCACAATAGTGCACAATCAACCAGAGAAGAGACCACCACAAAAATAATGACAGCAGAAAGTTACATGCCAATTAAAGTTTGCACAGGAGTATTGTATGAGTTACATAAGATACTGATCTTCCAGTCACCATTGTGTCATGAATGTTAAGTAATGAATATGTAATATGGATGTGTAATATAAGGGGCAGTCAGAGTTTCATAGGAAAAATCCATCATGACACCCTAAACCCCAGGAGAAGGTAACTAGCCATGGCTTTTTTCTGTATGTCTGCTGTTTTGTACTTTAACAGTATTTGTAACAGCAAGGTATGCTTTTGGTTAAAAAAAAGGTTTGATTTAATAAACCCGAGTGTCTTGGCCTGAGTGCATGGCACTCATATTCAACACTATTTTTAACAAGTGAAGCACCACTCACCTCTAATGTCTCTTCTGCAGTACAGCCAGGCTGCTGCTGCAGCTTACCAGTGCGCAAAGCTTCAATGTATTCATCACATTTCTTATAGCCATCATTCAGAAGTTCATATTTAGCCTTTAGCAGTCCCTGTCCTGGAGTTACATCACCAATCCCAATTGAGAACCCACGGTTAGCTACAGTAAAATTACAAAAGAGATACTGACATACAAAAAAGTTCAGGTCACTGAGTTCTATGCAGATAATGATCACAGAATTTCTCTCCATTATATGGCATTTGCAAATACATCACTTGAATTCAAGACAAAGTTGTGAACAGATATACTAAATTGATGGAAATGGAGAAAAGTGCCTTATTGATTTTTCCTGGTCTAAATAGGCTACATTTTTAATAGAAACCTTTCTGGATTTAGGTTACATTAAAATATTCTACAACGAAAGGCACCTCCCAGGTTACTTACAGAGGTAAACAGGAGCAAGCCTGGCTAGCCGTGACATAGCATCTGCAGCCTCTACCTGCCCCCAGTCTCTCAGCAGAATGTAAAAGATATTGTTCTTGGATCCAGATCCTAAGGTTCCTTTGTCCATACTGCCACTCATCAACTGGCTATTCTGGATTGTAACATCTGGAGGCACAAAGGAAAATACTGAAAGCCTGACACCCAAAGAGACCAAGAGCTTAACTTAGGTTACTAGTAATTTAATAGAGTTTAAATCATAACAGTGTGGGCTGTCAAAACAAAAAAGCCCCAAAACACACACATTATGCCTATAGAAGCAGAACACTGAATAAAAAGGATGCAGTGAAAGTGTCTCCAAAACAATCCTCCTACTGCAACTCCATTTCCCATACATTTTTAAGTCTATTTCCCACCCTTTCCCCAGGTAAATGCTTCAATTGCCAGATTTTCGTTTAAGAAACAGCAGTAGCCCATAACTTAAAGCGACCTTAACACTGCAAATTTTAATTTTTTAACTCCCATGGAAGAATTAAATGTGATAAAAAAACAATTTTAAATCTTCTGAGCGATATCTTAAATTAGTCCATTTTTGTTCACATAGTTTAAAACACAGTAGGCAAATCAGTGCAAGCAGTTTCCCAGCCAAAAGCCACACTTAACTTTGATAAAAATGTGACTATAGTAAGCGAAGAATCATTGAAGAGAGTTATTTTATTTAGGAACAAGTCAGTAATTGGGCACAATGGCACTAGAAAGTAAGCAACTTAATACGTGAGCACTCCAACTCCAATATGCTACATTCAAGGAACGGCTTGGGTATATAGATGGACTTAAATCACTGCACTGCCCTGGCTCACTAAAGGTACACCATAGTTACATGTACACTAGGAATCGGTAAGCTGGTCTATTAAGTGCTCCAAGCGTGGACACAGTTATATCTGCAAAGGGTAGTAACCTCCTATAATAACCCCCTCCCCCCAAGTCAAACAAGCTATACCAGTTAAAGCAGTTTTGCTGGCGTAACTGCATCTTTACTAGGACTTATGCTGGCACAGCTATGTGGGTCAGGTATCACACTTCTCATCCCCCAACTGACATAGCTCTACCAGCAGACCTGACTTATTGTTTTAATTAATTTTTTTTTTTAAAAGGATGCAACAAAACTTGCTGAACAGTAAATAACAGCCATTGATATTCCTTAATGACTGAGTACACTGCAAAAGCCATGTTGGGATTTCATGAGATCTTGCAGAAGACCTTTTCCAGATTGGACTGTTATTGCTTCACAAAAGAACAGGTACGCCAAAGACTGCAACACTCGCTTCAGAGAAACTCAGAGGGATTGTTGCTTCCACTGAGGCTGCCGACTCCGAGAAACTGGGGTTTCCACTCCATCTTCTAAGGCCTATTACATCCCTCTGCAATTTCTTCCTATGGTGGGAGAATTTTCTTGGGTTTACACTGCTCTGCTCCCCTGCAGCTAGTTCATGGTGAAGAAAAAGGTGGCAGGGGCATGGGATAAAAACCTCACTAAAACAGAGGAAGGATTTTTCTGGTTACAGAAATGATTAGCTATGGACTGCTGGTTTAATAATATCAGACGATGTGTAATATGCTTGTTATATAGCAACTCTGTTTTGCGCCATCTCTACTTTCCTTATCACCTTCCTTTGCCTAGCTTCAAGTTCTGCATTTGTCAAGTTTAAAATGGTAAGATCTTTGGGACAGAGACTATGGTTTTTTTTAAATCTCTGTAAGGTGTCATGACAAGTTAAATGCTATATAAATATTTTATTAATAAAATTCACTATATTCCTGTAGTGTTCTATGTCTGAGCAAACACCAACTTTTGAGAAATTGCCTATTTTGTACATGAATCAAATATTCATCACATTCTTGCACATTTTACTCGCATTTTCATGTTTAACAGCAAAAAATAGCATTTAACAGCATTTTCTTCAGTCACATTTCCCTGCTGTGAACTCAATTACGGACTAGTAACAGAAAAGTAGTCACTGGTGCAGATGTTATGAACTCATAATTGAGGAGCAGTTGAGCAGGCAAGGTCACTCACAAGAATCATTGATACACAGATCCTCCCCTCTGCCACAGTACTGTTTTCCTTTGGTTCGGAGATTGGCTTTCACAGCACAGTCATCGCTAGGTTTGAGAATGAGGCTGAAGACCTGCTTTCCTGTCCACAGGGTTACAGGCTGAAGGCAACAAAAGGAAAGAATCAGAAACAGTCAGAATGTTTTCGATAGGGTTATAGTACCAAAACAGCCAACTTCAATATGCTGCTCTAAAACTGTGGTTAATGGCTTGGTGGAACAACCTGTGCCAGTCAGTTTGCTGAGATGGCTGCCATTATTCACTTAACTGAGAACAGAAACCCCATTACCCCAAGGAATCGGAACTTCAATATTTTTGGTTGAAGGACAGAGGGCAGATGTCTGAATGAATGAATACCCCCTCCACTTCTCTCTGACACTGGTTGAAATAAAAGTAAAAAAGTTAAAATGTAGATGATTGCCAGCTTCACTTCATTCCCTGCATTTACGGTGTTGTGGATCTAGTTTCTCTCGTTCAGTATACAGTGTTTTCGTGAATGCGTTTGGCTTAGAGATCACATTATTGTGTATTTCAGCCAGATAAAATACAATTAGCCAATATAAGCAGCTGACA